TATATATATATATATATATATATATAATAGTGTGTGTGTGTGTGTGCGTGTGCGTGTGCGTGTGCGTGCTATAATTTGGTTTATTTGATTTTTGACTGGAACTATCAGTTGTGATTTACAAAGCAGGCTGATTTTCTTGGTGGTGGAAATGAGGGAAACCAATGAACAAATTACTTCCCTTCAGAAGATCTGCCTTCTTTTCTGTTTTTTAGCACCCTGCAGTATCTCAAGGCGACGGCTAGCAGCGAAAAAATTGTTTGTGTTTGGGAATCAAAGAAAAGCTCGGCTTATTCAAAGTAATCAGAGCCTCCAATTTCTGTGTGATGAAGGATATGTGCTTGTGGCTCCATCAGTCAGAAAGTGTGTTGACGGTTACATGGATTTCCCATTATGCATCTCTGGTAAGCATGCTGTCAATATGTTGGATTCCTCTGGAATTGTAACTAATTAAAACAATTAAGATAACATAATGAATATGAACATTTGCTTCTAAAGTCCCATTCTTTTAAAAATGATTTAATATTCACTGAAATAATTCACATCTTTTCTTGGAATTTTAGTAGTTGTACTCTAAAATAAAAAACCTGAAGCATATTTATCCAAACATCTGAATTGTTTCTAAGGTTCAATCCAAAATCCTGAACTACAGCTAAGAGCTATGATTCCATGTGGTTGAAGGTATGCATAAAATTACAAAGGTTGCATACCATATGCTGATGCCATATCATTAAAGGAGTCCCATATTTTGCCTGATGAAAAATATATTTTCTTTTAAATTGGTTGTGTGAATTTATCATATGGTCAATGTTAATATGGAACTGGGCGGGATTATGATTTTATTTAATAAATCCATAGGTTCCAGAACATTTAGGTGATGAAGGATATTTTATTATTCTTTATTTGCAGACATTTAATTTTCAGATTGTTATAATAATTTTTATTATACAAAAATTAGTTCAGAAGATTTTTTTTTAAATTGTCACTCTGCCCCTTCTTCATTTATATGTAGGTGGAAGCCTAAATCTTGTGCATTCCCAACATCTTAGAAATATTTCTGCTAAGAAACATACCTATAAAATAAACAGAAACTAGTATCAATTGAATAAGCAGATAAATTGTTAGCATGTTGTTTAAAATAAGTGAAACAATAATATATAAAATTTGAAATGTCTACATACGATGGCCTGAGAATTACTGACATTACCATGCATTTATTTTATTATCTCTATTTATTTGTAATTATTAATTTAACTGAATATTATTCTTTACGGTCCTTAATGGAGAGTGATTATGTGACAATCTTGCAAGGTAGACCCACACAGGACGAATGATCAGATTAGCTAATTCTAATTTTCTATAGTTACATCAATAGAATTCTGTCATCCTTTACAGCCCTTGAATCTGGGAGGGCCTCTTCTGAACAGCTTTCCCTGCCTATTCCTGATGTGGGCTAAGTTATCTTTTATCTGATAGTTCCCTTGGCTGCATTTCTTTTCATTTCCCCCAATGTCATTTCTACCTACCCTTGCATCATATATTTATGTCAATACCTGGGTCAACATAGAACAAAAATAATAGGAATGAAGAGGGGGGAGGGAGAGGGAGGGAGGGAGGGAGGGAGGGGGAGAAATAGATTGTGAGCAGTTGGGTATATTGTCCTAAAGGTGCTTTTTCAAAAGACTATTGGACTTTCTTTGCTTTTCCTTGAAGAGGTTTCACTTCTCATCCAAGAAGCTTCTTCAGTCTGGAGAGTTGGGTGCATTGTAGCTCTGTTGAGAATGTAGGTAGTGTTTTGATGCCAAAGTTTCACAAATACTTAACTTGCTTATGAAATAATTTCACTTTAAAAATAGCTAGTAAGTATCTGATTTTATTGGGAAAAAAAGGCCAGAATCTGTAATAATTTTAAATCAATTTCTTTGTAATTATTATTTTAAGGAATGTATCCACTTTATCTAGCATTTCCTGGCCTATTGGTATTTTTTGTTCTCTATTTAATAGAAACAGGAAAAAACTGCGAGGATCCACCCAGGATTGAGAACGGAGACATTATTACTTTATCTGCGAAGCAATACAGATCTGGCTCTTCAGTAGAATTCAGATGCCAAAAGGATTACATCATGGAAGGCCAGAAGAGATCTTTTTGTAATGATGGGGCCTGGACAGAAGCCCCCAATTGCCTCCGTAAGCAGAAATGAAAGAGAGCCTTGTGCAATGAAAGACACACCCTTTGGCTCAAGTTTCATGGCTCAAGTAGTGCAAAAGCCTGAGACTTTTCCCAAAAGGCTGCTCTTTCGTTAATGTTGGGTATCCACAGAGTAATATTTTCATATCAGTAAATGGCACAGCAATTGCTTTTGCTGGCAATAAACTCCATGGATGAGCTACTGCATATTTCTATTTTTAAAGAATTTATAAACTCTTACCATACCAAGATTGTTTAATCTCAGTGCTGGTGAGCTGAGTTGTTTTTTAGCTCAGCAGAGGCCTGGCAATCCTCTCTGCCACGCGAATCAGCTGAGCTTATAAACAAGGGAATATAAGACAGGGAACGAGGGGGGTGGGAGGGCAGGGCCAACCCTTTATTTGCCGGTTCTCTGGGTCACTCAAAATTTCCGCTACCGGTTCGCCTGAACTGGTCCGAACCGGCTGAATATGGGAATTTCCCACCTCTGAAATGGGAAAAGAAACAAGTCCTATGAGCCCCAACACAGAGCATTTGAAGGCCTGATCTCTTTCCCTGGTCACCTTTAACTGAGAGTATAACCTCAGGCAGGAATGGAACCACTGCAATGTGGAGCCCCTGATTTGCAACCTACAAGTGGTTGAAAACATTACTGGAATCAACAGTGGAACTGAATAGCAAGTATGAGGAGAGGAAATAGGGGGTCTGTTATTCCCACTTCCCTTATTGTAACTCCCTGTTGTCTCTTTAGATACAAGGCGGAAATCCAGGTCAGATTCTGATATTGGACTAAAACAACAACATTTAATGACAGGTTCATCTCTGATGTTAGCAGAGACTAAAGCAAAGCAATTGAACTCATAGAATATTCAGAATTTTGGAGGTGCCTTACTTTTTTTCTATCCCATTTCTTCTAGAAAAGGGCTGTGATTATGTCGATATAGAAAATGGAAGAATGGAAAATCATGATGAACAATTTCCAAAAAGGGAAGGAGAAACATTTCGGTTTTATTGTTATAATGGTTTTCTGCCTAAAAGCAAACGTCAAACCTTGCAAACAGTGACATGCACCAATTCCGGCTTTGAACCAGAACCGAAGTGTTTCAGTAAGTAATTCTTTCCCCTTTGCCAAATCCAGACAAACCAGGCCGGGGAGATGCTATCCTGACCTTCTTTAACCTTAAAGAAGTATCGTTCTACAGAGATCTCAGCCGTTCTTGGGTCGTTCTGCCTGCTGGGATGATGCTTCCACTCCTGTCTCTTCTCAAGGGACCCTCAAGGTTGTTTTGGAGCCTACAGTTTGCAAAAGAATGTGTCCTAAAACCTTAAATGAGAGAGATAAAAGAAGCTGAGTCTTTTATAAAACATAAGCAGAAAAATAGGTTGCTTCCTCATCAGCTTCCTCCTCTCTTTACATCTTATCATCTCTATGAATTTGATATCATGCGTAGAACCATCAATGCTGAAACCAAATTGCTCTTTTTTGCTTTTAGAAACATGTGATCCTCCTCTACGTTTTTATCACGGCCACTTCATTAATCCTCACCGGAACAAGTACACAGAAGGTGACAGGATTGCATTTGTTTGTGATAAGGGATATTCTCCTGCAAACCAGCCATCAACATCCACTTGCACTCAGAATGGCTGGTCACCTGCTCCAAGTTGTGCCTTGCCAGGTAACTTTAGGAATGTTTGCTAAAAATGCCTTGAAATTGCTTATTGTGCTTAAATAATGTCACATGATGCCACTGTGACGATGTGAGTTTGACACCACTGACCCAGCTGCTTCGTTGGTTGCCATCCATTAATAACATGTGTTCCCCATGTTCAAGTCTGTCAAGATCCTTCTGGTTCTTGGATTTATCCTCTGGGGTATTGGCTATTCCTCCCAGCTTCCTTGTCATCTGCAAAATTGATGAGTTCTCCTTTTATTCCCTCATCTAAATAATTTATGGAGATGTTGAAGAGTCCTGGGCCTAAGACAGAGCCTTGGTTCCATTAAGAACTGCATGCTGAGTGTGTTTTATCAGCCAGTTGCAAATGGTGGTGATGCTGCCTATCCACCATTTTTCTAGCTTATCGAGAAGTAGGTTGTGGTTTACTTTGTCAAATGCATTACTGAAATTCACATATACTATGTCCGTGGCATTTTGCCATGTCACTTTGTCAAGGAATGAAATAAGCTTTGTTTGGCATAATATTACTCCTTGTTGTATCATTCATGTATTTAATCAACATTCTCAATCAACAATCTGTTTTCACTGTAAATGAAAATATATTCAAAGCACACTGATTTTCTCATTTGCCCCCTCCCTTCCTCCTTGTAGATGCCCCCCCCCAGAAGTAACCCAAAGCCTTCATGAAAAATAGTCTAATTACAATACAATAGCAGAGTTGGAAGGGACCTTGGAGGTCTTCTAGTCCAACCCCCTGCCTAGGCAGAAAACCCTATTCCATTTCAGACAAATATCCAACATCTTCTTAAAGACTTCCAGTGTTGGGGCAGTCACAACTTCTGGAGGCAACTTCTGTTCCACTGATTAATTCTTCTGTCAGGAAGTTTCTCCTCAGTTCTAAGTTGCTTCTCTCCTTGATTAGTTTCCACCCATTGCTTCTTGTTCTGCCCTCAGGTGCCTTGGAGAATAGTTTGGCTCCCTCTTCTTTGTGGCAACCTCTGAGATATTGGAAGACTGCTATCATGTCTCCCCTGGTCCTTCTTTTCATTAAACTAGACCTACCCAGTTCCTGCAACCGTTCTTCATATGTTTCAATCTCCAGTCCCCTAATCCTCTTTGTTGCTCTTCTCTTCCTAGAGTCTCCACATCTTTTCTACATCATGGAGACCAAAACTGAATGCCGTATTCCAAGTGTGGCCTTCACTTCAAGTAATCTTGAAGTGTTAATACCACTTTATAATGCCTTGGTAAGGCCACACTTGGAATACTGCATTCAGTTTTGGTTTTGGTTAATTACAGGAAGAGTGAGGAAGTTCAGGGTCAAAATGGACAAAGGTCCATTTTTAGGAAGCAGAACATATTCAGATATTTTGTTCCAGCCTTGTCACCTTGTCTTATACCAATCATAAACTCTGTTCCAGACTTCAAAGTATTCTGATTCCCCTTTATTTTTTAGTTCAAGAGTGAGCCTATCTGCTTCCGCATAGGCCAAAGTTTTTCTGAATATATCTAACTCTGATGACGTATTTTCCTTTTTCTAATTTAATGGGAATGTTCTGAAACAGAAAAAGAAATTTTGGTAGTACATTCATCTTTATGACTGCAATCCTACCCATCAAGGACAATTATAGATTTTCCCAACTTTCTAAATCTTGCTTAGTTTTATTGATCAAATTAATATAGTTGTCTTCTTTGATGGACACACACCTCACTGATAAATGTATACCTAGATATTTCACTTTTTTGACAATTTGAATACCCAATTTCTTTGTTAACTCCTCTTTCAATTTGGATGTCCTATTTCATTCTATTTAAGTACAATGACAATAAAGATTATACTTTTAACCAACATTTTAGTCTTTGTCATATTTATCTTTAGACCTTTCCCATAATTCCTCAATAAGTTTCCTACCAGGATTTAGAGGATCCTCTAACACGCATTCTATTTGTGCAAGATGTGAGCAATTATTAATAGAAAGTGGGTAATAAAATCAACAACTCTTTGTGGGCAGATCACATTTATATCAAAGTAATTGCTATCCATTTTATCACAGCTCTGGCTAAGGTCCTAGACCAGGGGTGTTGAACTCAAGGTGCTTAGATATGGCTTGCAGGGACAGCCTGGAAATAGAAAAAGGACAGGCCCACCGATGCCTCTGCAAGCAAAAATGGGGCACGGGGAAGGCTGCACATGGCTTCCCAGCACCCCGTTTTCACTGACAGAGGGCTCTCAAAGGAAACTAAAAACAGAACAAAAGGAGAGATGTTTCCCCTTTCGCCTTTGAGCATGCAAAAAGGGACAGGAAAGGAGAAAGGAGAAAGAAAAAGATGGGAAGAGAGCAAGGAAGGAAAAATAAGGCAAGAGGGGAAGGATGTGAAGGAAAAAGAAGAAAAGAGAAGGAAGGAAGGAAGGAAGGAAGGAGATTATAATGAGAGTGAAGGAGAGTCTCAGGGAAGTCCTGGGTGAGCACTTGGCCACCATAGGTGCCCCCCCCAACATGAGTTCCATGTCAAGCCCACCCCTGGCCATGCCCACCCCAATAATGCCCACCGTGACTACGCCCCCTGGCCACATCACCTCCAATGTCAAACACTACCTTCATTGCTGCCCTCAATGAAATCAAGTTCAAAACTTCTGTACTAGATGGAGAACCTTGTAAAGTTGAAAGACAATAGCAAGGTAACGTAGTAATCATTTTCTGCCTATTAGTTAAACAAGCTATATGACAGTGTTGCTTTTAAAAAACAAGAATTAGTTTTAGCATTTCGCAGTGTAGTTCCTTATGAATATGCTTAAAACCTGTGTATGTACCATCAGGATTGTTGATGGATTATTTATCTAATATAGAGGGAGGATGTGGACATCCACCTGCTGTGGACAATGGAGACATTGTGGAGACACTCAAGGAAATCTACGTCCAGTCTGAAAGTGTAACTTATCAGTGCAAAAATCTCTACAGAATGGAAGGATCTGCAAGAGTGACTTGTCAAAATGGCCATTGGTCACAAACACCAGCATGTAGAGGTATAAGTAATATCTATAATTCTTTATAGAGTATAAATTTGGGAAAGAAATCAATTTCATGATATGACAGCTGCTGTATGAGAATGTTAGTGTCAGGAGGTGTTTTACTGACTTGTAAGGGAATTAGAAGCTATAGTATTATGAGCCAAGATAAAGTAACTGCCTCAGAATGGAAAATTGTACAAGATCTTCTGCCATTTACAAGTGTCTTCCTCTAGGCCAGGGGTGTCAAACTCAAGGCCCACAGGCAGAATCCAGGCCACGGGCTGCTTAGATCTGGCCTGCGGGGCCAGCCTGGAAATATCAAGGAATTGGCCTACAGGGCCTCTGCCGGCTGAAAACGGGTCATGTGGGGGGCACACAGGGGGTCTCACACGCCCATTCTCTGCCTGCACAGCCTCCTGCAGCACTTTGCCAGTGAAAAACAGGCCACGTTGGGGGGGGGACACAATGTTATGAGTGGTTATATGGTAAGATGTATGATCCACCTTTTGATTGGTATCACCAACCCTTCCCCATTGCTCCGGTGGAAAGGCATCCCATGCCTCAGAACCCTCAACGAAGGCTGAGTTAGAAGGACTAACGGAAGCCATAAGGAGGTTTTTAAAAAGTGAAAATTAATTTACTACAGTAATGCCTTACCTCTCCCCCCAATGAAGTTTTATTGCTTCTCTTAAGGAAAGGAAACTAAGAGTGTTTTATAGTTGAACAATGTCTGAGATGGAAATATTTGAGAGTGAAATATAGCAGTTACTATCCCAAACACAAAACCCTCTTTGGAATTTTAAAAAGATTAGTTAGAAAATCCAGGTAAGTGTTTCCTTCATCTTCACCTGAAAATATCTGCAAACACCTCTGCACGCCCAGTACTAAAAAAGCAGGATGGCAGCGCCTATGGCTCCGCCAAGAGAACCAGTTTGGGGGTGTGGCAGGCTGAGTTACTACCGACTTGGCCGAACTGGTCCAAACCAGTAGGAACCCACTTCTGGCTACAACTCAAAAATAAGGGGAGTCCATGACTTAAAACCATTCGTTTGGTGTCTGTTCATGCCACCATGGCCACCCCCACCCACTCCCCAGCCATTCCCCACCACTACCCTTTGCCCTCCAAGGTCAATGAAATCACGCTTGATACCCCTTGCTCTAGGCCTTCTGGGTTTGCCTCAAAGCCTGGCTTAGCCAACTGGCTTGGGGCCATGATGGAGTTCTTTACCCTGGAAGTGACTGGTGGACTAAGATAGAAGATTCCATCCCTCTTGTGCTTATGCTTCCTAGTTTTAGTCAAGCTCTATTAATTTTAATGTTTATAATTTTAAAAAAAATTCTATTCTTGCTTTTATTGTGTTGCACACTATCCAATCACGTCAATACTGACATGGATAGCACAACATCCAATACAGCTACACAATTTATTAATGCAGAGTTTTAACAATTATTAATGGAAAATGGGTGATAAAATAAGAACTCCTTGTGGGGAGATGCCGTTTATCCCAAAGCAATTGTTATTCATTTAAATACAGATCTGAGTTTAGGTATTAAGTAATTAAGAAAGTAATGACACTATATTTTCTAAAGTTGAAAGACAACACTAGGGACAACACTAGTAATCATTTTCTGTCTATCAATTAATGGCATTTTTGCTTTTTTAAAATAAGAATTAATGTAATTTTCAAATATAATTTCTTATGAATATGCTTAAAAAGTGATTTATGTGTCACCACTGACATATTTGTCATCATGAGGAGTGTTGCTCAACAGATTCTGTATCTATTATAGATATTGAAGGAAAATGTGGACGCCCACCTCCTGTGGAGAATGGAGACGCTGTGAACACACCCAAGCGAATCTATTTACAGTCTGAAAGTGTAACTTATCAGTGCCAAAATTTCTACACAATGCAAGGTTCTCCAAGAGTGACTTGTCAAAATGGCTGTTGGTCACAAACACCAACATGTAGAAGTAATACCTATAATTCTTTATTGATTTATTCTTTATAGAGAAATATTGTATTTTGGGAATGGAATAAATTTCGTGACATCAGAGGTGTTATGTCAGTATGTTAGTGCCAGGAGATCAGGGGTGGGCTCCTAACAGGTTTATTACCAGTTCGCGGAGAGGATGCTTTGCACATGCGCTGCTCACTTTGCTCGCACACGCCCCCACCGTATGTTGCTGGGCATCTGCAGTTGACTGAAAACTGCTCTGCGCATAGACAGACACATGCCAACGGTGGCAGAATGGACCAGGGTACCGGTTCAGGGGCGTGGTAGGCCTGGGTTGCGGTCGGTTCCAGCGACCCATGCTGCCATACCATTACCGGTTCGACTGAACCAGTCCGAACTGGTAGGAACCCACAACTGCAGAAGATATTTTAGTTTCTTGTTATTGAATTAGAAGTGGTAGTATGATGAGCCATTATAAAGTAACTTTCTCAGGGAGAAACTGCTTCATAATGGAGACTTGTACAATATCTTTTGCCATTTACAAATGTTGCCCTTATTTTGTGAAACCTTCCTGGTGAAATTCTGCTTTCCCTAAGATACATTTCATAACAGACTCTTTTTTTTTGCCGGTGGCATGATTGAAAAAAATTGAAATTTTAGTTTACTAGAGTTCAGTACGTAATTTTTCTTTTTCTTTTCATAGATGAGAACACAGGGCCCTCCATCATCCCCATTATGCCATTTTCATCAATCAATCAATCATTCCTTGAACAAAAAATAACAAAAAGCCACATTTCCCAACAATCCACTAGGCCTCTTTTGGAATAATAGTATTAGTTGAATCTCTAGGGAAATAAAATTATTAAATTTGGAAGAAGGGAAGGGGACTGAAATGTTTCTCTTCTTCCTTTTACACATGTAACATTGTCTTGCTTAAAAGAGGTTTAGTTCATGACTGATAATTAGTTCATAAGAGACAAAATAAAAAAGGGAGACATCCATTTATATACTGTAGATCTGCAATCATTTTAGCCTATTGCAACATAGAAATTTCAACCTAAACATTAATCTCTTTATCAAAGGAATTCTTCAGTGTCAAACTTTCTATGTTTCATCTGATCTGTGTCCTTTTGCAGTTGCTTGTACAGCAAGTGAAGAAGATATGAGACAACGTAATATAAGGCTGAGGTGGTCCAATAGGGATACACTATATTCTACGGATGGAAATGTAGTGGAATTTGTATGTTTAAGAGGCTATAGACCACATCCATCTTCTGGACCGTTCAGAATTTATTGTGTGGAAGGGAAATTTGACTATCCGTATTGCACTCGGTATGTATATTTTCAGAAAAATACTTTAATTCACTAAAGTTATCATTTATTTTCCTTGTCTATATCTACATACTATATATCTATATCTACAGTATGCATCAAAAATCACTTAAAATATTTTAAAGCCCAATGTCTGGCAGCTAAAATTGTGGATGTGGTTTCTAAGGCAACTCGGCTTTTTGGTATTGCTGGAGTGCAGCTCCCAGTATCCTTCTCTCAGACTGTGTCGTCTGAGAATAATGAGAGTTTGTTTATTCATTGCATTTGTATTCTATCTTTTCTCAAGTGTTTCCCCTGTGAGGATCAATTAAAGGTTTGGTAACATCGACTTTCCCCCTCCTGTTTTCGAAATCTTTGGCTTTGGGATCATTCTGACTGTCACAGTTGATATCCTAAAATATCAAGAATTAATAAACAGTCTTTAAATGTGTTACATGTTATTGTAAAAAAGGAGAATATTGCCCTGTGACAGAATGATCTACAATTTTTGAGTCGCTTGAGTAATTTTAAGTAATTGGTTTAACAAATTGAAATGCTGACATTTCAGAGCCTTCTTGCCCATGTATGGAATCAATTTAATATCATAAGGCTGCATTTTGCTGTAGATCAAGATCTATCAGTTTAAAAAATAATTATATAAAATGTAGAGGTGCAAATTTATTTCTTCATTCTTCACGTTGTATTTTACAGATTCTGACTAAAGGAACAACAGAACATGTACACCATTCTTTGAGCCAGAAGATGAATGTCAGAAATCATTTATCCTTCTCCTGAAAGATGACCACATTAAACTGTATTGTCTATAGCTACCAACAATGTATCTGAAGATAAAAGTCTGCTTTGTAGAAACCAAATTTTACCAACTGGGAAAAGGTTAACATTTAAAAACAAGTCTATAAACTATCTTTAATATACTCCTAATATCCATCTAGAATGAGGCTTATTTTTAATATACATTTTATCTGTAAACATTTGATTAATCTGAATGATGAGTGCACAGGCTATCTTAACACAATAAAAATAGATAATTGTAATTAGCTTTTTTAGCTTATAGAAGTGCTGAGTTCTTTAAAAAATAAAAATAAATTAAAAATGTTTCTTTCACCAAACAATTTGTAATGTATTTTATAAAGAAACAGAGGACGCATACAATAAACTCTCCAATTCACAGTCCAGTCCAAGATCCCGAAGCAGCCTAGACTTCCTTGGGTTGCTCTGGAGGTAGCAGAAAATACCTTGAGGCTCAGGGTCAGAGGGAGCTTCAGCCAACTGGATTTCTGCTAGTCTGATGTGTAACATGGGAAAATAACAAACAGGAACAAAAGTTTTGTTTTTCTTACTTCTTTGTTTTTCTTTTTAACAGTATGAAACTATATAACTATTTATTAACAATTGAAATTAGGCTGGATCTTAGAAATAGATGCAGGGCTTTCCAAACCACATTCCTTCATAAACTTTATTTGACACAGAATGGAAGGAAATGTACTAAATGTACTAAAACCACGGATTACACTCAGGGGTGGGCTTCAAAAATTTCAGCAACAGGTTCTCTGCCCAGTTGCTGGGTGGGCATGGCCTAGTTGACCTCCTGCATCATGGAGAGCCATTTTCACCTTCCCCGGGCTCCGGTGACTTTCCTCGAGCTTCTGGGAGGCCGAAAACTGCCTCCGGGGGCTCCAGAGGCCTTCCGGGCGGCCCGTTCGTGGGATGGGAGGGGCAGGGTGGGCAGGGGCAGCCAGGGGTGGGATTTGGAGGTTCTCTGAAGCAGCCATAGCGTTAGTTATGGTTTCTCCCAAACCCAGGCGAACCCATAGCAGCCCCCACATGATTACAGTGGCTCCCCTTCTGGTGTTTTTAAATCCATAAAATCATTTTTGGCAATTGATCCCAATGTGGTTGCATCATCTCTGAATTCTGAAGAATTCATTGCTTTGGCTTCTGACTGGACACTAGATGACAACTGGCTTGATGTTATGAACAGCAATATAAAACACTAACATTCTGGGGGACAGGAAATTTCCACTGAGAAGCTTCCATTCCTTCTTCTACCCCCCTAAGTTAGGGATGGTCCGACTGAGCCTTTTCCTAATAACTAACTCGTTTCCTGGGCTATATAGACAGCTTCTGCAGTTGTTTCTGTAACAGTTTTTGAATATTCTTTTCCAGACCATCCACATCATTCCCTCTCATTCTTTCTCCTCTTCTTACTTGCAGCTGTGATACACTTTCAGTTTGAGGATGTGGTAGTTCATTAGCATATTAATAAATAATTAGAGACTTTGGTAAGCTATTAATTAACTTTAGTTAGAGCTATTAGTTTATTTGTGCCTTTGCCTGATAGAAGTAACATCCTTTCAACACCTGTTGGCTAGAACCAGAGGGGTCAGCCATAAAACACCCCATAGGTTGTCCACAAATGTTTCCTATACAACTGGTAGGTTGTGACATTGACTCTTGGCTAAAGTGAATCCATTACTGAAATTAAGGAAAATAATACGGTATTTAGCTTAAGCTTGAGCGGATAAAGATGTCTAAACAGGATTCGGGAGATAAGCAAAGTGAATCATTAACATAGTAAAACACACACCAATCTATAACAGTCCAGCCTATCAAAAGCAGTACAGAAGAAAACAGAATACTGTATATACTCGAGTATAAGCCTAGTTTTTCAGCCCACTTTTTGGGCTGAAAAAAGCCGCCTCGGCTTATACT